AAAAGCCTCAATTAGCCGGGCATGGTGGCACGCGCCTGTAATCCCAGCCTCTGGGGAGACTGAGGCAGGGCAATCGCTTGAACCTAAGAGGCAGAGGTTGCATTGAGCCGACATCATGCCACTGCACTCCAGCCTGGGCAACACAGCAGGATCCTGTCTCTACTAAAAACAGCAACCAAAAATTAGCCAGTGTGGAGGTGCACACCTGCCGTCTTTACTTGGGAGGCTGCAGTGAGAGGATCACCTGAGCCTGGAGGTGGAGGCTGCAGTGAGCTGTGATCACACCACTGCACTCCAGCCTGAGTGACGGAGCAAGACCTTATCTCAGAAAAAAGAAGGAAAGGGGAGACACAGACACACACAGAGGAGCTGGCCTTGTGGGGACAGAGACAGAGACACAGACTGCAGTGGTATCTCTTCAAGTCAAGGAGTGCCGAGGACTGGCCACAGCCCCCAGAAACTGAAGGCGCCCCCCTCCGCCCACCATGAGGCACTCCCTGCCCACAGCCTGACTTGGAAGTTTCATCTTTTAGAAATGAGAGGGGAGAATTTCCACTGTTTCAGGCCCCCTGGTGTGTCCGCCCAGGGAACAAACGCAGACCCTCCAACACCACCTGCCACCTGCCGGTCCAGCAGCAGGGGAAGCCGAGACTCAGATGGTGGAAAGCGCCTACGGCTTCCTTCCGGCCAAAAGACCCTCCCAAGACTACGAAGACCCCGGCCTAGGAGGGGGTCTCAGCTGGGCTGCCGGCGCCGCACCCAGACTCCAGACACCTCAGCAGGCTGTGGGTGGGTCCCTGAGGGGTCTGCTGTGGCTTCCTCCCTGGTGGCTGGGTTGGGGTCTGACCTGGTGGGGGGCCAGGCTCTCCACCGATTCTCTAGGCAGCCACTGACCACGTGTGGCCTTCCCTGGGTCCTAGACATCCCTACCCCCTCCTCTGGGGCCTCAAACGTTTTTTTTTTCCTTTTTTTTCTTTTTTTGAGATAGTCTCACTCTGTCACCAGGCTAGAGTGCAGTGGTGTGATCACAGGTCACTGCAGTCTTGAACTCCGGGGCTCAAGTGATCCTCCTGAGGTGGGCGCCGCCATGCCCAGCTTATTAACTACATGTTGAGACGGAGTTTCACTCTTGCCGAGGCTGGAATACAGTGGCGCAACCTTGGCTCACTGCAACCTCCGCCTCCCCGTTCAAAAAATTCTCCTGCCTCAGCCTCCCGTGTAGCTGGGATTACAGGCGTCCACCACCACACCCGGCTAATTTTTTGTATTTTTAGGAGAGACGGGGTTTCGCCATGTTGGCCAGCCTGGTCTCAAACTCCTGACCTCAGGTGATGCGCCCACCTCGGCCTCTCAGAGTGCTGGGATTCCAGGCGTGAGCCCCTGCGCCCGGCCCATTTTTATTTTTTGTAGAGATGGGTTCTCACGATGCCGCCCAGGCTGGTTTCAAACTCCTGGGCTCAAGCAATCCTCCTGCCTTGGCCTCCCAAAATGCTGGGATTCCAGGCGTGAGCCGCCAAGTCCAGCCCTTGAAGGAGTTTTGAGCCGCCACCCCCTACGCCCCCAGGCTCTGGGGAAGCAGAGAGCCTTGGATATTGTTTGCAAACAGTCAGCAAGTGGGACTGAGAGGAGAACAGTGTGGCGAAATGTCCCAGAGTGAAAGAAAAGGAACAGGACCAGCATTCCTGATGGGGAAGAGTCAGAAGGACCAGGAGGGTGGAAGGTGTGGGGCCTGCAGGCTGGCGTTCCCAGGGGCTCAGTGGGGAGGACCCTGGGAGGAAGCGGCGGGGACACACCCGCTCAGAGGGGACAGCAGTTCTCCCATCCCACCGCACTGCCTCCATATCTGCCCTTCCCATCCAAAGCATTCTGTTCGCCTCTGTCACAACCAGTCCCCTCCATTTCTCCATGCAGTCCAGCGTCACCCTCCTCCAGGAAGCCAACCCTGACTGCACTGGGTTGGGCCTGCACTTCTGAGTCTCTCCTCACATGCCTTTTTTTTGGGGGGGGGGGGCGGGGATGGAGTCTCGATCTGTCACCCGGGCTGGAGTGCAGTGGTACAATCTTGGCTCACTGCAACCTTCGCCTCCCGGGTTCAAGTGATTCCCTGCCTCAGCCTCCCAAGGAGCTGGGATTACAGGTGTGTGCCATCAAGCTTGGTTAATTTTTGTATTTTTAGTAGAGACAGGATTTCGCCATGTTGGCCAGGGTGGTCTCAAACTCCTGACCTCAGGTGATCCGCCCGCCTCCACCTCCCACGGTGCTGGGATTACAGGTGTGAGCCACCATGCCCGGCCACATGCCTAACTTTCTGAGCTGCCTCCCTTACGCCGGGGGTCCGGGCTGGGGAGTCCCTGGGCCCTCGGGCGAACTTGCTATGCCTGTTTCTTCACTGTGAAAGGGAAAACGTAATTGGCCTGGCTTCACTGGCTCTGGGCGAGCCTCAACAGGTCACGGCCACGCAGGTGGCCCTGGCAGCCACCCCTGGCAGGTCTCACTACAGCCCACAGTGTTTGCTTTAGGCAGATCCTACTTGAGGAGGGGAAACTGAGGCACAGAGAGAGGGGACCCAGCAAGGCTGGGGCAGGGGGTGCCACCCACAGATGGGGGGGCTCCGCTGCCCTGCCCAGAGGCAGGAAGTGAGCCTCTTCCCATTGCACAGACACAGCAGAGAGCAGAGCCCGCCGGTGAGGGCATGGTGCAGCACCGGGGTCCTCCCTTGCTGATCTGGGAAGTGACTCGGGTCCCCAGAGGGTCACACGTGGGAGAGGCTGCCCCGATGTGGCCGCCGCTGAGCTCACAGGCTGTGGTCACAGAAAGTCTGGTCTGGATGAGATGACAAATTTGGGAGATGGGGGAGATGGGGCTGGCGAGAAGGGGGCTGAAAAGGGACTGTGGGGAGGGGGGCGTGTGACTGTCTGGGCAGAAACCAGGATGGTGCTGGGAGCCACGGGTGTGTCGGGGTGGGGGGGGGCGCTGGCAGCCTCCGGCTCCCCTTACCCTGCCCTGTCCTATCCCCGATGGTGGCTCGGGGTGGAGACTCACAGCTGCAAGGCCTCTAGGGTCCCAGAGACAGAACTGGATCCCAGTTCACGGATGCTGCCTCCGCTTCAACACGTGCTGGCCCCCACGTCCCACCCACATCAGGACCCAAAGAGGCCAAGGAATCAGGACTCCAGGAGTGACCCCCGCCCCACTCTCGCCCCAGTGGAAATGACACAGCGAGGCCAGAGTGACAGGAAGCCCGAGGGAGACCCTGGGGGACACCAAAGGTTGGCAGGCATGGAAATGCAGATTCCTGCACCATGCCCCCCAGGAATCCAACTCTGAGGGCTTGGGATGCCTGGGAGTTGGGGTGACTGCCCCAGAGGCTGGCCCTGACCTGTCCCACACCCTCAACCCACAGCAGCCAAGTCTTCCCATGGCCAGGCAGGGCCTCGGGGCCCCACGCAGAGCACACACCAGGGGGTGTCACTCATCAGACCTGGCCAGGGTCCCGGCTGCAGACAACCGGCTGCAGACGACCGTGCACTACGGGCTCACCCATGAAACCACAAGTCCTGGCGTGGGAGCAGAGGCCGCCACCCCAGGCTGGAG